TTTAAGTGATTGGTTTGTCTCCTGAAAATACGCTTAAACAAACTAAAGGTGTTCCTAAAGGTAATGGCAATCCTATGCCCTTCTTGGCCATCTCAGAATACTTGTCAATCGCGACGCCTTTCTCCTCATTCCTTTTTTTCTTCTTCCTCTTTCCTTCTTTTCCTTCCTTCCTTCATTTTTCCCTCTTCCTTCCACTTCTCCCTTCAACTGCTGGGCCAGTAATACGATGGAGAATATCTCTGGACTCTCGCAGCGAGTCCGGTTGACAGAAGCATTGTAACCGTTATTGGCAGGCCTTCACCATTCTATATACACCACTTTTTTGAATTCCCTATTTTGCAAACCAAATCCGCGAGTTTTGAACCGAATTCACGACTTTTTGAACCAAACCCACGAACTCATTACATGATCAAACACGCCACACTACACAGTGCTGCAGGCCCCGCCCTAACAGCCACGCTGACATTTCAGAGTGACCACGATTTCTCAAACCTCATTTCATAAGTTCTGCTTCTGTGACATTTCTGCAATTTTGTAGTTTCGCACAAAAAAGATAAGGATAAAGGATAAAGTCTTCGCCGTTGATCAATCCCTTTGTGGGATGCGGCACGCATTCTACTTCCATTCAGAATCGTAGTGGCTTATTGAATGAGTTTCGCACATACTAACTGAAAAGGACCGTACATCGACACATGGGCAACTCCCTATCCCCCACTTTTCAATGAATTTGTTGCAAATTTTGAATTTTCATAATATTTTTTCAACGTCATTAATTTGTTGATCAATCCATTCATTCATTTTTCCTTCTGATAGAGCGCAGACGGCCACAGTCCGCGCAGCCTCACCTCGAGGCGCAGAAACGCGGACTCTGTCACGCCGACGCGTGGCCGCTGCTGAGTAATGTAGCTCCGAAAAATAATAACGTGCTAGTTTTCATGGAAATTACGAATCTTCACAACAGAGAGAGATTATTTACGATGGAACAAAAAGGCACCCATTAGAATTTTCTAGGAAGAGCACATTAGAAGTTCAATCAGTCAGTTATTCTATCAGCACTGGTCGCAAATGGATATTAAGTGACCGGAAATATGTAAATGATAGACACAGAGAACGAAAAGGAAGGGAAATGCAAACCGGTGACATTTGAAAGAAAAAAGCAAGATGGGTTGTAACGGATACTGGTTTCATTCAAACATGTCGACATTTGAAGTATTCGCATCTTCAGCACCTCCAGAGTCAGAAGCAGTCTGAAACACGCACTATAGAGGAACAGAAAAAAAATGTAGAGCGGGTATTGCTTCCATGAAGGTCGAGCGGTAAAGAAAGATCTCATTCTAAACGTTTCAGTCAGCACAAGCTTCGTTGGGAAATATTGTCTAAGGAGGAATACAATCATTCCATTCCTTGGTATGTAGTGTTTACAACCATTCGCAGTCCTTGTCATAGGTACGACAGGGGTACCAAAGGTAAACAACCTTTAAATAAAGTGCAGGCCTCATTCGGCTCAGGGGGTAGCATTTCGTGGGTCTCGCTGGAAGCTGATGTGAAGCTATGACTGCCCAAAGCGCTCGTATAGTATAAGCCAACAGGTCGAAGTGCGAAGGCCTGTGAACTCATGTGAAGCTGACGCTTCCACACATAATGAAGCTCATACCATTCCGGACGTTGCTGAGCTCAAGGGAAGGGGAAGGCGGATGGAGGGGTGGGGGGGGGGGGGGGAGGTGAGAGCGAGCATACTGCATTTTCGCTAGATCTTTTAGCTATTAATTTCGGCTAACAGGTGACCTGTACCAACGGCTGGACCGCCTTTCAAATTAGGCTGAGAAATGGTACAAGTGAGCCACTCTAGTAAGAACAATTCACTAGTCTCAACAGGGTGGCCGACAAACTTTGTTGTTACCGTTTGGTGCCTCCACCAACCTAAACTGCGCTCCATTTCGAGGGGTTTGCAAGTGTTCCCGCGTATCATCACAGTAGCTAGGCAAAGCATGCTTCAGTTCGCAGTTTCATAGGTTTACAGGCCCCAACAAAATAAGGGAACTGAAATTAGCGAACTAGCAAAGGCCCCTCCTGAACCGAACAGCACCAAGGTGTTTAGCGCTGATGACTTTCACCGTGACAGCTAAGCTAGGTGGTTCTTTCGATTTCAGCGTTCGGAGTACAACTCTACACATGAAAACTATTCAAACCATGAGACAAAGAACAGTACATTCACGATAAATAGATGAACCTACTTCTTCCACATCTCCGTCAGCGTCTTCCAAGTCCTCTTCCAAGGCGACGTCCTTATCGACAGCATCGTCTTCAGTGTTTTCTACAACATCTTCTTCAATGTTTTCCATGTCCTCCTCAATAATTGCATCTTTCTCAGTGCTGACTTGTGTCTGCGAGATTCCTTTTGAGGATTCAGTTTCAGGCCAATCACTTAGTGTACCTTCGAGGAACTCAAAAACGGCTTTCGATGATATCGCTCTATCTGAAAATAGATGCTTGAATCGTTGACGGAGATCACATTGTGCTGCAACACCGTGTTGGAGGATGACCATAGACTCTAAATCCTGCTATACACCTAAAATTCGAATTTCCCTGCCCTAAGCATAACCAATGATCCCAGTTAACCCTGAGCTTGTGCGCCTGGACCTCCCGTGAAGGATCAAATCAAAAGGGGATGATGAGTCAGTACCAAAGCACGTAAAATACAAGACCGTAGGGTTTTCTGAAACCAGACGCTCATTGTTTAGATGTACTGAAATCTCAGTATCCTTTTTCGGAACATATTCGGATTGCAAGTGATGCTTACCAATATCTTTTCGTCTGTATTGTTTTCCTCTTCTCCAACACAGCTTGAGTGTATGAAGCCTTCGCCAATTCAGCTACAAACAGTTCCTGAAAGAAAGTCAGATTATTGTTGTACAATGGCTTCTGCACAAACCATGAGAAAAACACCAGAGCAACATCAGAGCAGGGCCGTCAAAAATCGTCACTGCGGGACCTGATTTATGGCACAGAAAGAAGGACTTCGTAGTCCGACGAATCACAACTACCGCTCGTTTAGTTTCCAAAGTTTGAGGTGTTCCAGTTACAACGTTACACTGCCTCCTAGAGCACGCGTGGTGTACCTTCTACAACATTGGCTCCATCGCCGGGTATGCTCTGCACGCGCACTCTAAATCTAGCAAGTAGCGAGAGGCCAGGGTTACGGTAGCAGCGGTTCTCGGACTGCGAAAGTTCTCTTATCTCTAAGGCTGCGTGTCTCCATGGGTGTAATCAGATATCCAGGAGTAGCTCCTAGCCAGCGAAATGCAGCTGGAAGAAGAAGGCAACTGGAGAGCAAAAAAAGCGCCGGTTATTCCATGCACGTTGCGAGGACCAAGTCTCGGATCGATTCCCACCTGAGCCAACCAAACCTTCCGCTTCCATCTTCCAGGCTATTTGACACCAGATTGTCTGAGGGGAGAAAAAGCGGTGATTTGGGCACCAGCTGAGCCACTGGTCATCACGGTTCCGAATGGAGATCGAATCCGTGCTGCATCATATAAAGAGCCTGATCAGCATTGAAAGCTCAATAAGTCATCATCCCACAAAAAACGTATCAAAACTGCTCAGAAGCAATGCCTAGGAGCGCATTCATAGTTAGCGATATGGTCGCTCTGATCGCGCGAAGAAACGAACTCATCGTGACCGAATCACGAAGTATGCTGCTCTGAGATGGACATTCTAGGTGCTTACCAGGGAAGTCCGCCAACTTACCATGGAACTTTGAATGGAGACCTGGGTAGATCGATAGAGTCTATAAGGTTATTTACAAATATAGATAGCAAAACTGCAACCTGCATTTCACAAGCAACTTATGAGCAGGTAAAGTTTGTAATGGTGCAGTAGGGTGGAGGCTTGGTGGTGAGCTGTGAAGCATAAGCGAGGAATCGAATCGAGTCGTCGTAGTTCAGTGGTAAGGTTCGACGTTCGATGACTCGATTCGACGTATGCGATTTCTCGCTTATGCTTCACAACTCACTACCAAGCCGCCACTCTACTGCACCATTACAAACTTTACCTGCTCACAAGTTGCTTGTGATATGCAGGTTGCAGTTTTGCTATCTATATTTGTAAATAACTTATAAACTCTATCGACCTACCCAGGTCTCCATTCAAAGTTCTTTGGTAAGTTGGCGGAATTCCCTGGTTAGTGAAGAGTGTTTTCTCTGCGAGACTACCACTCAGTGACCCTGATCGTTTGCTCTCCTGAGCCTAAGCCTTGATAAGGGGAATGGACCCATAGGTGCGGACGAGCGCTTCTCCGCGACAACGTTATCGACGAGTTTATGCCTTCTGTACATGAAAAATATACGAGATGACTTCGAAAAAAAACTTGCCGTTGCTTTAGTAATGAAGAGTATTGCATCACTGCCAATCATGGAGAGATCAGGATCTAAGCGACAAATCTTCTTTACACGAGAAAGGTGCACACGGAGCCCAGTTTAGCAATCAGCCTACTTGAACATGTGTCCTGAGCTAACAGTGTCAGCTTCAACTGCTATTTCCTTATCTAAACCATTCAGTAAATAAGCAGGCCCGTACCTTCAAAGAAAGGTTTCTGGTAGTGTTCTAGCGGCGAGTTAAAAATAGTAAGAACGCGTTCATACTTCGCGATCCGTTCTCCTAGATCATGTAGGATGCCAGCGACCGGATCGCGGAAGTATGAATTCACTCTTGTTTTGTTGTAGGTTATTTCTTTCGAAATATCAAAAAGTAAAATGGCGCTAGTGCTGCTTGGCTTTAGGGAGAAGGGGGGACATCTTCACCTAGTTTCTCTAGTTCCCACCTACGTGCAGACCTGCAAACTTCTGTAAAGCTACGAAACTGTGGTCAAAGAACTTTGCACGGACCATCCGCGAAGGTCTGTAACCTCTGGTAAAACAAATGCAGCCATTTGGAGCTCAAAACCCTCAGCCTCGTATCAAACTCGGCAGTTTACAGACCCGGCAGGACTCTCCCATTTTGCAGATTTACAAGGCTACAGGCCTTGCCATAAAGAGAAAACTAAAGAAACTGACGAAATAGCACCTATTCCCCCCCCCCTTTCAAGCCGAACAGCGCCGGTGAAACAACTTAAAATTGGCAAGACCTGTGATCGGAGATTTGACAGTTTGCATTTCGCGCGCCATCCGCAACGGAGCAGGCGCAATGTCATTGGGTCACTACATGAGTAGCGCTTCAAGGAGACTTCTTGTGCTTCACCTGGGACCCGCCGAAAAAAGCTCTGGCAGTACTTTCTTACTTGTTGTAACAACCTTATGAAAGTGTTGTTCAGAGATTTCTGCCTCATTTCATGAGTACCATGAGGGGCGATTCGAGCCGTTCGACGCAGAATCGGTAAGTTCATTTTTCATTGACTGTGGATGTCTTTATTCTTGTAATTACATGAACCATTGTCAAACTTCTAATCTATCTAGCACTTCTTGTCAGTTCCGGATCCGCAGCAAACCGATGCGTGAAAATGTGGTTCAAGAACGGAACAACGACCTTGAGACCGTTCATTCACGCTGACGAGTCTCACTCTCCGTTCGCTTTTCTCGTGTTTCAGTGTGTCTTTGCATAGCTTCCAACTTTCTTCTCTATTTAGTCATTTCAGTGCTCATTTCAATTCTCAAAAATAAGTTACCAAGCTGGGATACAAGAAAGGAATTGATTTTATTTTTCATCTAGCAGTGACGTTTATTCTTAGCTCGCTAACTTTTTTGAAGTTACGCGACGTTACGGTTTGACGGGGACCACCTTGTAGACGCATTTTGAAAGTATCACTTTTACAATGAAAAAGTTCACCTGCCGTCATCCGCTCGTAAGCTAGGCTAGAAATGCTCCTCATCCAGTAAGCGACACGAGAACCGCTATCTCAAGAAGTAGCATGAGCAGACCAGCAAGTAGCCTGGAGGCGTATCCCCACCAGAAATATCCTGAGACGTATCCCCTCCCCGGTTCCCTCTCCTGTGTCATTTACCTAAACTCGTTTGTGATAAACGTCATTTACGTAAGCGTAGCATAGCTCCACAGCCGGTTAAGAGTTAGGAGATGGCTTGTTAATGAGACGACATTCCACGTAACACATTAATGATGGCGATGTCTGTGTATTATCTTTGTGTCTGACGACATGTGACGTCAGTGCACTTTATCCTGAGAGTTAGCGGGCCTGAGCTAACATCAGTCTTCTTCCAAACAAATCAGCGGGACCGTACTACTTTTTTTTGTACCTCGTTTGACACATACGTCATCGCTCTACGGCGACCTATAAAAGCGTGATTCTCTGTTTTCTCTGCACTCTCTCACCAGGTTAGTATAGCACCCATAGCAGTGTAATATGATCATTATAACCTCACCCATTCCAGTTCTTAGCACAGTGGCTCCCTCTACCCGGGAGTCTCTCCCTTTTAAGAAGCCATGTTCTAGTTCGCCAGATCTTTTTCCTACATTTCGATGCTTTGGCATACGTTGTCCTCTATTTTCTCTGCGATGTCTGCGTTACAGAAGTTCGCAAAAGGCCATGCAGAAGTTGAACTTGTCACATAACCTCGAACGTCGCACCAGTTTACTTGTTGAATGCCTCCCGTTTGAGTGTTTCGCTGGTCTCGGCGTGTGCATTGCAGCCAATGCACAGACGCGCGAGCTGGAGTGAGCGCGTGCACAGCGGGCAATGCACGCGGCCTTCAATGTGTTAAATTCTCCAACAGTTATGATTAGCATATCAACTTTCCTTCCTTTTCCTTGATCTCTACTGTTTAATGTTTCAGCTCCCTCATGGTTTTGTATTGTGTGACACACAATGATTGCGGTGCCTCGTCTGCTAGTCACTTTCACGGATTTCCGACGGCTTACATGTCCACAATGTCATCGTGGGTTCGAGGTAATTCATTCCTACACTACTTCTCTTTCCCTTTTTTGGTCTGTTTGGTTTGTGACAGTGCGACAATCCCGGTGCGACTCCCGCCCAGGCCAACCAAGCCTTCTACCCTCCGGGGACGGTGAATTGGTACCAGATTCGTCTGGGAGGATAAAACACTGACTTGTACATCGGCTGGCCCCCGCAAGTCATTGTATAGGCCAGAATGCGTGCCGCATCCCTGCAAAGGGATTGATCGACGGCGAGGCACTTTGCCTTTTATTTTTCTTCATTTATTGTACTACCATAAAGGAAGTGTAAGAAGGCCAAGTCGTTTCCGGTTCCAAAACAGGAGCTATCGCTAGCTTCGAGTGCCCATCACCAGTCTTGCTATCGCGACCGGTTCAGGGGGGGAAGAGATCCGTTGCCTGCTTTAGGTGACATCGTGTAGCGGCGAAACGAATTATTTTGTTAGCTGTTCGTTCAACTGTCAACGCTGAGATTTGCCAATCATTCTGAGTGTTTTCTGCAACTTCATATGGTACTCAACCTCTCTATTTTGAATATCTGGTTCTCAATCAGACTCAAGTTTTTTACAGTATTTCTAGGATGGGAGAGTGAATGTATAACGCAGCTCTTTTGTTGGACAGAATAATCTGGGATGTGCTGTGGTCATCAAGCCTACTCGAGGGGACTTCCATAGGTGAGTTTGTGACGGTACTTACTTTCTCTTATGTATTGCGTACGGTTCTCACGTTAACACTACAATCGTTTATCGACTTTTCGCCCCAGTTCCTCACTATTTTCTCAACTTTTGCTTTTCCACAATTTTACTTTTGAAATTGTTCGTCTTGAAGTAAGCGAGAATGAGCATAGGTTTTCAAGTGATTCCAGAGTTTAATCAAATGTAGTTGGACCACTCTTCTACTCATAGAAATTTCCTTCGGTTTCAATAGTGTATGCTATCTAGCAATGAAAATCGGAAGAGTAATACTTTCTCAATGCAACTTATTCTCTTGTGATTCTCGCGCGTTCATATATGCTTCAGGCCATTGCGACTATGCAGGGGCGTTTTGAAATGTTACGACTAGAAACTGTGGGCACCCGATCTAGCGTTTGTTACAATGTCCACTCTTGATCATACAGCAGCCGTGCGCTCAAAATGCTAGTCGAATACTACCTTTCCTTTTGTTGGAAACGGTGTGTGCGTTAAAGCGCCTGGATTGAAGCGTATAGTCTTTCTGGTGCTCAAAAACTACTGTGCATGCGTGAACACTTTCATAGTAAGGTACACTCTTGTTCGTTGCGGACGGTTGGGCGTCGTCGCCTAGTATGACGTGTGTACCAAGCTTGCAAAACCGCCCCCCCCGCCCCGTCTCTGGCTTCTTGTTGAAACGCGCATGCGATAAAGAGTCGTATAAAACGAGTAATACGAAGGATATGATAGTATTGTCACTTGCCCGCTTCAACAACTGTGGAGAACGAGTTTGAAGCCCGCGCCAAATGCAGCCGCACATGAGCACGGCCCACCATCCGCAGACGCAGCACTATAGCATTTTTTAGCTATCTTCTAAAATCCTTAATTCAGATCACGGTGTGATCTACCGTAGTTCACCATTTGGGACTTTGAGGTTGTGAGTTTGTTGTAAAAATGAATATCGGAGTACCACTCTGCCTCACACCGTCAAAAGAAAGGCCTGGAAATCTGAAAAAGGACATTTGGAATAGGTGTTTAAGATATTTTTTATTTTTTTTCCTGAATCGCCTCAGTAAACTGGTTGTACTCCTTTTCGGATGTTAAAGATACTGGGTGTTACTTACAAATATCGTAGAATTTTTGGTTCATGCGATAAACTGGGTACAGATACCGAACGCCTCATGAAAACTTTGATTCTCCCAATCGTTTAGCTCTGGTTTTGATGGCAGCATACTATCTATTGAACATCTTTTTCAGCTATCGAATGGGCGATGATCTACATATTGGCATATCTAACTCAATGTCCGTGGTACATTCCTACTGGATGAATGGCATATCGTCAGAATGCACTGGCTGGGATAAGTCTATAGCAGTTTGTCGCTTCGGTGATGATGAGGACAGGTTCGTATAATTGTTCTTTATGTGGCGCCTTTCATTCTTTCAAATCCGGTTTATTTTCAGATTTGATGTTATGCTTTCTTCTTTTCTTAGAGAAAATGCGGACAGCTTTGATGGAAAGGTCTGCTATTTTATTGGATTTTTTGATTTTCTTCCACGAATAGGCAATTTCATTTTATTGTCCTGGGGGAGTCTATGAAAGAAATCCTTTTGCTTTTCAGTTCTATGATGATAGAAGATGGAATTGCTTCGATTTCGTTTTGGAGTTCCTACGCTTCATCAACTTCAGGAGATACACGAAGATCGATTTCGCTGCAGAATTTGTTCAGGACTCCTTAAAAAGTGCAGTTAAGTATAATATGTTAGTCCAGCGGGTAGAGGAACGTGGTTTTGTACTTTTATAACAACTACTAAAGCTCGTCGTTCTTTGATTTTCTGGGATATGAGGCGCATTTATTCACGAGGTCGCAGAGACGAACGAGCGTCTGCGCACAGCAGCAGCCTGCCTGTCTCTCGCTTTTTGCATTTCTAATTCTTTTGCATACTTTTTTATTCGATATTATTACTCGACTATTCTATCGCATTCAATTTACGACTTTGAACAATATATTGAGGAAACCATCTGAAGGCATGAAACTAACAAGTGTGAAAACCACTAGTAGTTTTATCCACAGACTGGTTGCTTCATAACGCTTTTTCGTGGGCGCTCCATTTGCGGCTCTTGAGGCAAAGTGCGCCTTATATCCCAGATTGTAGGGTATTTCCATCTATGAATCACTCAGTTATAATGTGGTGTTACATCTACGTGTTCCTTGCCTCGGTTGTCTTCTCAAGTTCAGCTATTGAAGTTCACCTTGTATTTATTCGTTTATCAATAGTTTGTGGTGTATTTAATACGACGTGGTAAGGGGTTGCACCATTAGCATGACCCACTTAACCACTGCCCCTAGTGTGACATGAGCTCTCTCCCCCCCCCCCCCTCTTGAAGTTTAGCATCACTTACTCTAACTTCCTTCCTGCCTCGTCACTGCCCTTAGTGTGAGCGTCCGCCTCCGCTGGCCTTCGTTATAGCTGGCATCACGATTTACTCCCATTTCTTCCATGAACTGCGCACTGATCGTGGGCGCTGTGTGTGAAATGGCGTGATGTACAACCACACCCCAAAAAGGTCCCTACTCTGAGAGCACCCTCCTCACTATCTTACCCTCTATCTTCCTAATTTCTCAACTTCCTTCCAGTTTCCACAAAGGTTCCCTACTTTTTCCCTAGAAACTGCTTTTTCCTTAGAAACTGCGAGAGAAGAGGTCTCCACCTTCACCAGAAGTAATCTATTGGAAATAATGGTTGCATATCACAAAACCGCCGGGTTACGGAGTAGAGTGAGACCCCAAGCGGGTCTCGATCGGCTTCCCCTGCTGACCGAGCATCCTACTGCAGTACAGACTCGGGGATATTAGATAGGACCCCCCTCCACAGCGGCCAAGTATGACTGCCTCCCTGCCTGATGATGTGACTCTCCCAGCGATGCTGTACCCTATCCAGAGCAGGAACTCGTCAACTGAGGCTTCCCCTATCCAAGCAGGAACTCGTCAACGAGGCAATGTTCCTCATTATTTTAGGCTAATTATGGACTCTCTTAACAGGCGTTGGAAGTTCTCCGGCGATTCCGTACGTCTGTATGCATCGGATGTTAACTTTTTATATAGAGCTTACCAAATAACTTTTTGATTTTCTTATAAACTAGCGCTGTCTTGGTTAACTGTCAACTGCCTTATCTGTTCTGATTCTGTAGAAAGGAACTCTTGAATGTCAATAAATCTTTCTAGATCGTTATCGAGACGAGCTTGCTTTCCGTTGTTCGGTGGTATTTCCTAATAAATATGGGTCTATAGGATGTGATTTTACCTTCATACAGTGGCTTCTGTTCAACGATTGCCCAGAGCTGTAGAAGAGACGTCCAAGCTGTTAGACACTGATCGTCGTCGTAGGACAACAAAGTTTCAACTTGCGCTCAGGTTTCCATATCTGTTGATCTAAAGGCCGGTCAATACTTTCGTGCGATCCGATCGCTTGGATCGCGAAGCATTACGCCGCCTTCTAATGGTGTTCGTCAAAATGAAAGCGGTACTTTTCAGTTTGAAATATTTACCATGAAGACCTGCTGAACGCAAAGAGCCTCCTGGATGTGAAGCTCACAGTGATGGTGAGAGAATTCATGCTGTGGCTCGCCGTCATCCAGTGGCGATCATAAAAAACGAATAGTGAATACAACGAGAAAGCTTCAGAAATCTGTGCTTGCATTGCAGCGGTACTTCTTTTTATTATACAGGCTTCTATACACCCCGACATATTTATATTTTTGCAGAATGCCGAATAATGAGGTGATAAGTGACATGCTGCAGAAAATGCGAGATATTGGAGGGCGTCTGAGTGAAGCGTTGAAGCAGCTACAGGCAGAGTTTTCCACTAAAACGATTCCCCTACCCGAATTTGATCCTGCTGATATGCATCTACTGCTTGGAGAAGAGGAGGTTGAGTACATTTCACTTTCTTTGAGTTAGGCATACTTTGCGACTTGAAGTCGTCAGTCGCGGTCTATTGGACAACGTGAAAGTGCTTCGCAAGTCCACCCGCTAAACCTTAGGACTACCCCACGCAACTTGAACATGCAATATTCGAAATAAAGCATCGTTTGACCGGCGGCGGTGTTACGCTTCACGGGGAAGCGTTGTCAATCGCAATGGCGCATCTGAATCGCTCGATTCACGAAGTATGAACACGACCTTAGAAGTCAATATCTGAGGCTGCTTTCATACTTCGCGACTCGCGCCACCATTGCTCGAGATGCGCCCAGTGCCAGGCCTTTACCGCCACACTGCCGTTGTTATTCAATCATATTCAAAACCAAAGCACTCTTCCCTGTTTGTTTAGAGATAGGGAATATTGAACAAGTACGCTACTGGAGGAGGGGGGGGGGGGGGCCGAGAAGGGATTGGGGACCATGTTCCAAATTCTCGGCCACCCCTGAATATTCCCTGCGAGGATTATCCCTCGGCGACTTCTGAAGAGGTTTGCGTTCTAAACTTAGCCGTTTTTAGGGGTAGGAGATACAGAATAGCGCTAGTTGGTCTCTTTTTTTTTTCCCAGGTGTTTTAACCGTTCAGAGCCAAGGTTAAATCAGATTCAAGACATGAAGTTCCGTGGAGGAGAAAGAATACACAAAACTCATGGCAAAGTGATTCAGCCAGAATTCTCAGCGCGTTCAGAGGAGATTAGCCGTTAGCTCGCGCCAATTGATAGTTGCACGACCTTTGCGAGTAAGTTTCGCTCTGCTTGCGGACTATTGAAAATCTGTTGCGAACTATGAACTCATATCAGTTCCGCCCGCTTCTTCAGGTTCCAAAAATACTAACTCCGTTTGAAGAAGTAGAAGAATCAGAACGGGCAGCTCACCAGCAGTTGGAATCTCTCCTGTTCGAGGCAGAAGTGATGCTACGCGAATATGAGCATTTGAAGCAAGGACTACGTGCCTAATTATCATTATATGTACGGTTATGTTCAGATTGTTAGATTTCCAAGACTCGTTACTTCATTTCAATTTGTTGTAGTAACTTATATCAGACGTTTGGAATTTGTAATTTTTCATTCTAATCAAATTGTTTTATAGTCTCTCAATTCACTTGCTATCATCAGCAGAGTTCTACAGTACATCAAAATTGGCTGTCGCAAAAAGTTGACCCTAGCCCTAGCGGAACCGCGTGTGATGTAGCCCAAAGAGCCCAAGCTAGCTTCATGAGTACCTACTTTCAGTAGCGGTCGGCTTTTATAATTCACTTCTTACATCTAACGGCCATTTTGTGGATGACCGGACATATCATTTTCACTTTGATTCACCACTTTCCGGATCAAATTCATCATTTTCAAACCAACTTCACCTTTTCCCAAGCGAAATTCACCACTATTTACCTGACGTGACACGCCGCAGCACTGACTCGTTGAAATAACTGGGTCCTGACACGAATGACACTATTATAGCTGCTTGGATTTGTTGAATTAGACCCCGTGCACATACTTTACTATATTAAAAACAGAGTGATTCCTGTCATCCTCTATATATTGTATGATAATGTTGCTAGTCCGCTTTGTTTGTAAGCATTTATTTATCAATAAATCTATGAACTTTCTTCGCTCTGTACCTTTTATCGCTTCGGCCTCGAACGAACAGCATCGCTTGAAAATCTGCTGAACCGTTAACGGATGCTTTAGTTAGAAACAGCAGTTGGTACGTTAGGTTTGGGATCTGTAAAGCGACAAAGCGACAGGACAAAGGCAAGGCAAGCATGTTCAGAAACGTGCTATGCGAGTAATGCAACAAGTAAAAGCAGTTTCAACTATGAGATGTTATCAAGAAAGGCGTAGATAACACGGTATCATGGCGTGATATCACCTACATCGCTCATTCTGCTGGGGTGAGGACCACTTTCTATTTTGAATTCTTCATGTTCAGCCGCTTCTAAAGAAGGTAATGGAGTGTACACTGCATCTGTCTTTCAGATGAGCAAACGTGGTTTCTTAAATCTAAACGACGATAACTTCTGGGGAAATGAGGACTCCAAGGTTAGCAAGAAGTTTAACATTGAAAGTAAAAAAGGAGACAAGATGGAGAGTGAGGCAGGTGTTAGGTGGTTCGCAGCTGTCGAGGGGTGGAGTTTGTGAGCTAGGCGGGATTTACAGAGAGAAGCAAGGTTTCATGCAAATTAAAGTGCTACGAGACACATCTTGCAATCAGCTGATGTGCAGACGCCTTTTTGAGAAAGGTAGCCCGGTCTAAAAAAGCTTTTCTCACTTTGGCTAAAAGTGCGTGGCAAGGGCGCTGAGCGCTCTTGGCGATCCAGATGTTGATGCTCCGCCCATTGCCTAATTCGCGCCCAACGTTCATTTCTAAGGGCTTCCTGGTGGAGCGGCTGTTCAGCTATTAGTTCTAGCCATTTCAAATGAGAACGACGTGATAAGATAGAAGAGCTGGGAGAAGACCAAGCTAGTAAGATCTCGTGTAAGCACGCCCTCACTTCGTCGTATGTTCGTACAAGTCCGGTTTGGAAGGGTATGTGGCGACTCCATTGTGACTCGTCTTGAAGGTGGGCGTTGCCTGCGACGCCGCAACGTTGCGTACGAGCTGTGTTGTCTCAGGGTTCATTCAAGTTATCAAAGAGACCCATTTTGTTGCTACTGTGAAGACACGTGAAGAAGAGCAAGTCCTCGCTCCAACGACAACTTGAGTGGAACTCTGATGTCGCCGCGCGACTCGCCGCGTGCGACGCGTCGGCTGACGATAGAATCGCTCGTCTCCCGTTTGGAAGAGGCTCCTATCGAGAGCATGACAAACGGTTTTTTTTTCTGTGCGACTCGCCGCGCGCGACGTGAACTGCTTAGTAGTGTGCTAGCTCTTACCAGGTGAAGGACGTGTGCTCCATTCGCGCCGAAATAGGTCTTGGTGCGAGTGCGGCGCACGTGCCGCCGCTCGGAACTTCGCCGCCCGCATGACCGCAACGTGAATGTAACGTCCCACGAGCAACTTCTGCGGTCATCACAATTCGCATCTTATGGCCAGCTCCCAAGACGCTTATGTGATAGTGATACATATTGATTAGCTGGGAGCATAAGGGTGCATCGGTGGTGGACATTGATCAGGATTTCGTCACTAGTTTAGGCTGAAGGTAA